CTGTAAAATCTCTTCAGAATCACACATTTTCACACCCAAACTTCGGGAATTCAACAATTTTTGAAGTATCTAATCAACAAAATAAAGGAGCCGTGACGGTTGCTATGAAACTCAGCCAACTTGAAACATTGCATAATTTGGGTGACAACATCAAACAAAAATCACAATCTGGAGACGTGTGTGCAAAGATGACATAACCGTGTGCAAAATGTTTAGCACACGGCGTGTGCAAAATGTTTAGCACACGGCGTGTGCAAAATACCGTTTTCAGAGCGTGTTTTCCGTGCGCAAAACCCCCTTTTGCAAGGCAGTCGTATAAAAATATATTTTGGACATACATAGTGTAATAGTGATGGTAAATATCTGGCAAGGCAACATATTTGGAAGACACTGTTGTTTTTATGAAAAAATACATACTTTGAAACACTGTTTCTACAAAAAGGCCAATGCTACGATAAGAACAGTTTAAATTGGCGGTAACAATAGCATAACAAAACATAATTACATCATAAAAAACACGTTATTGAATCGATTGTATTATTTACATAATCATAATAAAATGCTTCAATAGGTAATCAAATTATTATATGTATGTATATATTGATCGATAGTAGCTATAGAATAGGAATGGATATGGATACATGAAATATTAATATTCCCACTCAAATGTCAACGATTGCTGATGTATATTTTGACAAATAAATTGACTGCTCCACAAACATACAGGATATATTTTTAGCCCTTTGTCGCAAGTATTCCCTTTGAAAGCAAATTCGCGTCACTTTAAATTTAACTTCTCCCAGTTTGTGTATTCTTTTGTTCTATTGTTCCTTTCAATTAAAAAAAACAAATCAAGGTAAGCCGTCTCTCTACTTCGCTTTTGATGTCCTGTTCAATCCCATTGTAAGTGCTTTGTTAATCAACGCTACAGCGGAATAATTAGACGGAAAGGTTATTCTTAATGGTTTTTTTCATATGAACCTGAATGAAATGTTTGAAATAGAGAGAATTTAAAAACATAGCGGTAGCTACATATTTTAAGCAAAAAGTAAACTTAGTTGTGACACTTACATTTTAAAAAATAGACACTGTAGTCTGTTTTATCCACAAAAGGGAAAATGATAATGGAAATGCATGTTCCAAAATTATTTCCAGGTACTAGTCCGGTCAAAATAGACATTTCAAATAACGAAAATTCCGACAGCTAAATTATGGTGGAGACCTTGGATACAGCATTAGAAATAAATTGTCAAAAGTCCCCATCGACCCCATGTGTGCTAAAAAAGTTATTCGGGGTCAAAGGTCAAAACGGTAAGTTTTTTCAAAAAAGTAGCCCAGACAAAAATTATAGATCTTAAAATTATCTACAAAAATTGTCATACTTTTTTTCTAAGAATCACCATTCCTGAGATATCGCGATTCTAATAATTGAAGGAGTCATGTTCTACATGATATGCACACATTTCCACACCACCTGTGAGGTAGTGTACTTTGGCACGTTTTTTCTAACGTGGTTTCCCCGGTAGGCCTACTCCACGAACTGTTATGACGGAATTTTCAGGGACAACACTCTTTTAACTGCATGATGATTATTGATATTGATATTGGTTACCGACTTTAACTGTAGTTCTGATTTATTTTGATATTTTAATCTGATTCATACTCTTCTTCTTCCTCTTCGATTTCTTCTTCTTCCTCCTCTTCCTCTTCTTCTTGCTGAATGTTCATAAATTGTTCAAATGAAGATGAATCAGCTATCATCGATTTCATCGAAATCACATGAATCTTCGTCTGTTGTATTCAATTGGACATTTGAGCAAGACTAGCTTTGGCAATTAGTACACGCTGGAGAACACAGTAACCCTACTCTTCTACAGCCACATTTAGCACTACAACCTTTTTGCAATTGCAAAAAATAGTATTTAGGAGTTTTTCCGGAGTAGGTGGGAGTAAAGTTTGAATCGGTTCCAAAGTATTATCTGCTAATTTCCAACTCCAGTATTCTGGGTTCAGTTGATTGCCTAGCCTTGTCTGAACTTGGTAGTATACTCGATACAAGTGTTGATTAGCAGAAGCCGATGTTGGAGGAAGACAAGATAGTTGTACTTGTTTCTTGTTTCGTGTATTTTTTACAAAAGTTTTTACAATAGAGTAGCCAGATGTTATTCAAGGTCATGCGGGTAGAGGGGATTGACTAAGGGACTGAGATCCTTTTGAGTGTATATTCTCAGAATAGTTTAGTTTATACATATAAAAGACATAAATAGGCATTTTTACTTGTATTAAGTGCCTAACTATGTATATACGTGGCATATATGTGCATATCATGTAGAACGCGACTCCTTCAACTTTTAGAATCGCGATATCTCAGGAATGGTGATTCTTAGAAAAAAAAGTATAAGGAGCATTTTTGTAGATAATTTTGAGATCTATAATTTTTGTGAGAGCTACTTTTTGATAAACTTACCGTTTTCGAAAAAAATCCAAAAAGGCTCAAATTTTGACATTTGACCCCAAGTAACTTTTTTAGCACACATGGGATGGATGGGAACTTTTGACACTTTATTTCTAATGGTGTACCCAAGGTCTCCACCAAAATTTAGCTCTGTCGGAATTTTCGTTATTTGACCACTATTTTTATGACTAATTTGACCGGACACTAAAAACACAAATGGACGAAAACTATTATACCCATATATTTTATCTACTATCTACCATTGATTTAGGACCTCCTGGTACAAAAATTTTTGTCCCTCTCATTTCAAAACGAAGTATAACTTAGAAACAGCAACCCAAGCAGATTCAGTTAATATAAGGCTACAAACCTGACACATCGACATCATTTGAGTTTAGCAAATTCACAAAGAGACTCGAAAATGGTCTGATAGACCGCAAAATTTAGCTGATATCCTCGACAATCCCAAATGAACAGGGACAAAGAGCGGCCGGATATCCTGTAATCACTGCTGCTACCGGCGTGGCCTAGAAAATGTTCTTTCAGGAGTTTTTTGTGGGCCTAAATTGGGTGGTTGTAAGAAGTAAGGGTTAATAAATACAGAAAACAGTTGGGTATAGAAAAAATACAGGAAATCTCTATTTCAGACTAATCAAGACTTGCTTTTGGTGTGAATTCTATAAAAGACGTTCGTATATACGAGGTGTCCGGAAAAAAAACTATGTACTTAGTGAATTTAAATTCTGTGGGTGTTCTTCAAAAACTCTTGAATATAGAAAAAAAAATGATGACAAGCTCTCCAGCCCAATTTCCAAGATAAGGGCAAGTCTCAAATCAGAAATTTGTAGAGATAGAATTCCAAGAAAAGAGTAAGCCCATAATGTTCTGTTATCGGAACTATTGTAACACTTTACCGGCGACAGGAGCGTGCCTTAAAACTTACAGAATATTTTCAGGATATTAAATAATTATACACGTTAAACACGATACTGTTCGACTGGGAATTCAATTCCTTTCTATCTATCTAAAGTCATAGTATTTTCAACCTTTACATAGCTGGGCTACTGTAGTTTCCGCGTCATTCGCGTTCTGCGTTATGGGCAATGCGCTCTCTCTGTCTCTCTCTACTGAAATCCAATTTTAGTATTAACGTTTTGCGATAGTGTTTACATTAGTTTTTAAGTGTCAAAAATAGTTTACGTGTATAGCAACTCGGAGTTGATGGATATCGTTTCAACTTACGGTGAAGCAAGACAACATTTGTGTTATGGTGATGCAAAACAACATTTATGTTAGTTCATAGAAACTGAGTAAGACGAGCCTAAATGTGTTTGTTGGTGGACAACATTTTGAACAGTTGTTGTAACATCAGGTACATCAAATTATTTTATTACATAATTAAAACCGTAAATTAATGTTATTAATTAATAATAATAACGGCTTATAAAGCAGTCGAATTTGCTAATATAAAATAGGTGTTATAAAATTCTATTTATTTCTTTCCTTGCGAAATTATTTCAAGTTTTTGTCCGTTCATTTTTTATTACACATTGCCGCCGTGCCGGTCGCCTTTAGCGAGGTCAAGTTTTACAGTGGACCAGTTTCCAGTGCCGTGCAGAAATGTATTTTTAAATCATTTTCGAAATTGTATTTGTAAAGGTCTCCTACATTCAAAAATTAATTATGTTTAATTTATGCGGAAAACAGCAAATAAATTCTGACTATTAATTCAGCTGAGAATGCATTAGAACTTTTAAGTCTTATTAAAATTGAGTGTTTATACTCAGCGAAAAAAATATTGTATAACTTAGGAGCGATATAACGGAAGATTTAGGCCGTAGTACCAATCCCGAATGAAATTTCCAAAATGTACCCATATTTCCAAACTAATTCAAAAAACTTTTCAAAAGTCATACACGAGGTACAATTCCCTCCAAAATCATATAACTATAAATATAAAGTTGCAGATGAACTTCACCGATGCTTCGAAAATTTTTCAAAGTTCTTCAACGAACCATGATTGTAGCTAAGCATCATCAATCGTAGCAGACGCTAACGGATATCATTCCAAGATAAGCGTTTTTCGAGGAGGCCAAATACATTCAACGCGAGATCCAGCCTAATGGGTGTTCGAATGTCAGCCCAAATACCCTAACCCTAAAGCTTATTAAACAGGGACGGATCACAATTATTTTCAATTATTATTAATTATCGAGGTTTTCGATAAACCACACAATTTTTTTATAAAATTCAAAATTTATTCAAGATTAATTCTGAGACTATTGAGAATTAACTCACTTGGGTTAGAGGACTTATCAAAAAACATATTCAGTCACTGTACACAAAATAAGTAACAAAAGGTAAATTGTTATGGCATTTGTGATGGTCAATATAAGTATCTAAAACTGTGTTGCATGTCAACAGCAGCATCTTAACAAATAATTAAAACTGCTGACATGGAAAGAGATAAATTTCATAGAAAATCGTAGAACTACTGGAAACATTTTTCGTAAGCTAAGAACAATTTCAGTGGCGAACTACTTACGTAAGTTGTTTTCAAAGTAATTCCAATATCTTGGGAAATCTCCAACATAACCCTGAGTTCTGATTGAGCGGTTTAAATGGTAAAAAGATACAGCCACATCTTTTGGGTTTCTAGCTATATAGATGACCTGAAACAAAGGAAACTAAATTAGTTTGTTGTTCTACAACGAAGTGATAAAGACAAATTTGCGCAAAATCTACAAAAACTTTTTTAAAATGTTAACTAACAAAAGTTTTCATAATAAATTGCATCTATATATCTACCTTACATCCTACTTCTAGCAAATTCGGAGGTAATAAACTGAAGGGCAGATGTGTTTTTATGAACCTTCTCCCCGACATTTCCGTCAACATTTTCCAAGCAGGAAAATCTATGTTTTGCACTTGTTGGTATCTCTCCTCATCATAAGCATTTTCCTTTAGGAACTCGTCTTTGGTTTCTTTATGAACAAACGAACTAAACCTGAAATCGTAAACATAAAATATACATTTTAATTTCATTGTTTATTATACAAAGCTTCAGAATATGGAACTCCCGGAACTCTTACGAGATATGTGTACAAAGTTTTTAATATTTCTTCGTTAAAAATATACTTACTCTAAAAATGGGAATCTATGTACTAGAGGTATTTCCGTAGCTTTTTGGTAATTCAAGTCATTGGCTAATAGCCATGCCATTTCTTGCATCCAGGTGGTTCCTAAAAATATGTTTTCATTAACACTGTACTGGAAATTTTAATCGATATTTGTACCTACCTGATCTGGGAAACGTTACTATAAAAACATCATCAGGTCTGATTTGAAAATTGTAGTAGTGCCCCGCATTTTTCTCGTACCCGGAAGGGAAAAACCATTTCTTTGGTCCCACTTGTACAAAACCTGTCCGTTCGCCTAAAAAATGACTTCATAAATCCATTAGACAATAATCAGATTGTGTTCAACTATAACCTATGTAGTTTTCATTTTAATATATCCAATAAGGGTATTATTAAGGGTTTCTAATATGAGTTGCTGATGTGACCAGCTGAGTAATAATAGTCTACCCTTCCCCTACTCATTGTTAACTTTCTGGGTAATTCTATGTTTTTGTTTAATATAACTATGTTGGATGGTCTGGATTCGACCGAAATGTATTTTAGTATTATCCAAATCGGCACCGCCGGAATTATTTGTTAAAGGTTGAAAGCTAAGAGCTGTTTAAACTTTAGGAGAGTGACAAGTGTAATAAATGATCACGCCGTTATTGCATATACGAAACTGTAAAACAATGACAAAACAGAATATTAAAATTGGAGCCTAATATGTTTTCCTAGTAAAGGAACTGTGATGTTCAAGCAATTTTATTGCATGAATCGTTCAAATGGTCATTTTAGACGAAAAAACGCGGAGTGCTATTAAATTAGAGGGTGGAAACTGGAAATAGGGGTGGAAATGCACCTCTTTCAGTTTTTTAATTGTAGCTCGAAAACGAAGCAAAGGGAAAAATTGGCTAAATTTGAGCGACCATATGTTACTCAATTTTCATCCTGATACTTTACAACCTCTTTTATTGAAGATTCTTTTTTTCTTGATTTATCTTACAATACCTATACCTATCTTTACTCAAAAAAAAGCAAAAAAGTGAAAAAAAAATTTTATTTTTTCCTATCTTTCAAATTGTTTATTAACTATTTTTTTGCATAAACTTTTCCTTTTAAATTTTTTAAATAAGCCATTTCGATGGAAAATTCAATTCTCTAAATAATGTTTCCTATGAACTATAGCAAAATTTTGCTTCGTTTTTGAGCTATAATTAAAAAACTGAAAGGGGTACATTTTCACCCTTATCTCCAATTTCCACCCTCTAATCTCCAAAGTTTTTTATCTAAAATGACCCTTTGAACGATTCATGCAATAAAATTGCTTGAACATCATAGTTCCTTTTAACCCTGTTTTTTGGATATAAATCAATAGCCTATTAACAAAATTCAAAAAAATATGTATAATAAATACAAAGGAGATTTTATGTAACAGGATCCCTTCTAACTATGTATCTTAAACATCAGTTTTGTCACTTATTAATAATGATATTTCCAGGACAGTCGTAGTAGACAATAGAAACTGATTTGGGTTAAGCAATTTAAAGCAAACAAGCCGTTAAGATTGAATTTTAATTAAAAGAAATAGAAGGGTTTCTTTGGAACAGTAATTAAAACACTATTTTGTAATACCTGTCATGTTTTTTAATTGAGATTTGTTTGCATTTGAGTTTATTTTATCACTTGGCTATCTCACAATTACATCCCAAGAATTACCTGCTCAAGTGTACATGCCAATGTTTTGTCATTGTCCCTGGATTATTATTAATGGATTGGATGCAGGAAAATATACTTAAATGTACAATGCGGCAATTATAAATATGACTCCAGTGGAATTTCCTTTATTCTAGCTTATGCCGAAATAATGCTTTATTATTTACGTGAAAACAATGACGTACCAGGAGACTGTACATATTATTATTCGGGGATGTATCTAGGACACCCTGTAGATTCGATTGTGTCCCGTTTCGGTATGAAGCGAAACTCAGATGAATTTGGAGAGACTTTCTACAAAAATATGTGGTTCATAAATCGTCATTTAATATTACATGGAAATGATTAAGTTTGCGTAAACGAAAAACCAGTATGGCCTACATTTGAACATCAACCGTCGGTTTCAAGGTAGTGTAAGTTAATTGGAAAAGCGGATTACTGTCGAAATAACCTTCACTTCCTATATATACATAAGTACATATATTTATAAAATAATAACCAAATGTAGGTTTATTGATCAAAGTGCTTTAGTCTGTTGACTATTAAAAGCATTGGAAATAAATGCAAATTGGATTATATTACGAGTACAATGAATACGGTTTACAAATGATGTTTCACAGTGGTCACTAGTCAGATTAGTTCCGTGGTCCGTATTATTGTCTTTGGCTTTTCACTTATCTGTTTATATATCACTCAAAACAAAATATTACCAATTTCTATTTCCATGTTTAATCTTATTTGTTCATCCTTCTCATTTTACAATTCCGTATTAGGGTATTCTCGAAAATCTAGGGTGTAAAAATAATTATATTTTGGAAATACCGAATCCATATTATAACAACTTTATTAAAGCATTAATAACATAAATAATTCTTTTATGATTGAAATAACGTGCTCGATTTTTATAAAAAGTGTTCAGCTGATGTTAAATTTAAATGAAATCATTCATGCTTAGTATAAATGCGATCTACTGAAGTAAATTTACATATATTTTAATACCTACCCTAAAGTCAAGCTTTTACCTTTAAATTATTTTAGCCCGTTATTTCAATAGGTTAAATATGTTAAATATGCGCTGTTTTAACTTGCAGATATTTTAATGTTTCGCTGTTAAAAAAATTGATGGCAGGACTGGGCACGATAACATATTATTTATTCTGCGAGGTGCTTTGTAAATCTATATTATAATTCCAGATTGTTCCTTGATTCATTTTGAATCAAAAAACCTTATAAACTAAGGATCTATAATCATTTGTTTTCGAGATATAGGGTGTTGAAGAAAACATGTAACATTTTCCGAAAATTTATAAATTTTAAGATAATGATTTTAAAATTTTACATTTATATATTAAATTAGATTTTACCTGCAGTATGAAATTAAAGATTGAGGTCTTATTCTAATTAATTTTCTTGACACATAACTTAGCAAACGTAATTCGTTCGTGCGCATGCGTAAACTAGTTTCTTCTATGTTGACAGTGATGTTCAAAGTATATATATAGACTTTAAAAAATAATATCACCGTAAATATTTTTAATTTTGAAAACTGGTTTTCATTGAACTCGTCTTATTTATGAGTGCTTTTTCACAGTCTAACATATCACAACAGCCATCTTAGATCCTGAAAGCAACTTTATTAAATATGTCTGAATTGGAATACACTTTACAAATTTCCTTTCAACTTTAACAATGTTATGTAACTGTTTAATATTTATGTAATATTCTATTTCTACCGGTCCAGGATTATCCTTTATGGAAGTGTTACAAACTAATATTAATTCAATAGTTTGTTTTGACAGAATAGGATCCGATATTAATAATTTCTAAAGGATGAATTTGTGACAATAGTGATTAATATTCCTAATTGGATTAAATTGACTGATTGAGTTACAGATATAATTCAAAACCTTAGTGTTGAATTATGGACAACATGCCTTTAAAAACTAAAGCAACAATAAAAATTGGCCCTAATTTCATTGTTGATGTTCTTTAAAATATAGATAGGTTTAATCTTCAGTAACCAGAATTTTTTATTTAAATTTCAATTTTTAGCATGTACAGGGTGTCTCCATTTAAACTGTCTTTGATGAGACAGGTAATGGAAAAAATAACAAACATATGGAAACCTTTAATAAAAAAGATACAAGGTGTAAAAGTCATAACAAAGTTTTCAAACATATTTAAACCGTATTTTTGTCACATGGTACACGGATGAAGAACAAATACAAACAATATTATGTTTCTAACTGTACCAGTGACTTTAATTCAGCAAAAAAAATGGCATGGCCCTGGATAAAATTAAACAAGATATCAGTTTCAGATAAATCATTTAAGTCTAAACAAAAGTTGTCTCTTGGCATTTTTTCGTATCTGTCATCATAAAATTCAGGAAAATTTTAAACAAAATAGTAGGTTGCTATGGAAAACAAAGGACAGAGGTGGAAGAAGAAGACAAGTGGATGTCAGATGTAATAGACACGAGTTAGATGTTATTTTGATGAAGATGAAAGTTTAAGCACTCGCAGTCCATTGACAAGTGTCCCAAAAACTACCATACAAGACTTTAAAAAGTCATCAGTGTAAAGCTTTGTATCCCCAACCTATGCAGAACGTTGCTTAACTTTCTGCAAATGGCTCTTTAGAGAGAATGTATTGTAGAAGATATTGCTTTGGGACTATTTTTTCTACCAGATAGAATTAATTAATGGACAGTTTTTTCTTGACTCCCTGAACAATGATTTATTTAATGGTGTGCATGGTCTTCCTTTGAATTTAAGAGAACAAATTGTATTTTCAATTAGATGACTGATACGGATATGGCCATCACGCTGTCCGGATCTTACATCTCTCGACTTCTTTGTTTGGGATTACATCAAAAATTAAGTTCATGTTATGACAGTGGACACTGGCGAAGAATTAGGACAGCAAATTCGAAATATTTCCCGGACAATGACAACAGATCAACTTGTTAATATGGTAATATGTCTATTATTCATAGAACAAATCCTCTTGAACACTTTAAGAAAATGTGTTTTTTTTTATAGTTAATTACTTTTATTTGTGTTAATCAGTAATTATTCTTCTTTACACCCTTGCAATTAGTTAGTTAGAAACTTGTGGGCAAAATATGGTTTAAATATTTCTGAAACCTTGACAAAAAACAATAAAAACATTTGTTTTATTATAACTTTTACACTTTTTTTTATTAAGGGTTTCCGGATATTCATTTATAGGTATGAAACTTTTTGCTAAAAATTAATTTTTCTCTTACTCATTTCACATAAGGTACTTAAAACAGGGACACACTGTACATAGGGCAAAAGAGAATACGTTTTTCATAAACAAAATAAAACTTTGAAATTGAAGCTCATTTCTATTAGTGATTAGTGCATTAATTTTGACGCGAAATTTATTTTTGTTTAAATATATTAATATCGAGTGTAAAATAAGGCTAAAAATAAATCACCCTGTATGGCGATTTTTGCCAGACGTACCTAAAACGTTGTTTTTTTTGTTTACTGTTGTTTGTTAATAAATCTAGTTACTTTACCACAAATAACATTTGATTTATGCAGCAAATCAAGATGTTTTTGTAAAATTTGTATACAGGGTGTCCCATAAGTAATGGTACATGGAGCAACGGCGGATTCTACATACGAAAATATTACGATTTAACCAAACTTACCTTAGTCTGAGGGTGTCAAAGTGAAAAATTTGTTTGCAACCTTTTCATTATAGATATTGCATACATTTTGGGTATCAGGTATTTCGGGTAACGAATTAAAATCATAATATTTTAATGTGTTGAATCCGCAGTTGCTCCATGTACCATTACTTATGAGACACTGTGTATAACTATTACATTATATGAATAATATATTGGTTACCGGTTCTTAAAAAAATCTACCTGTAAAGTACTGCAACAAATCCTTGTTTATCTCGTCATCCACTTTGGTTATCTTATAAGGAAAGTCTTTCTTATCACTTTTATTTTCGTCGGTCTCACTGATCACGTCTTCTAAATATTTTGGTGTAGGCGACATCGTTAGCATTCTGCACTCAAAACACGAACTATTCAATAAACTGCAATGTGAAATGCAATTGGCAAAGAGCTCAAGTCGCGGCTGTGCCAGCACCGAGGTCTGTTCTTGACTCCTTAACACTGCCTTTGAAAATTGTCATAGAAGAAGTGAAAGTCCTCTTGAGTAATACGGCTTGAATGGCTGTATTATGTTATTATCGAAAGTATTAGAAAATATGTATTACGATGTATTTAGTGGTAGATGCGGATCGTTGGGTGACCAACAGGTTTTTTGGTGATTAGACAGTTTAATTCAGATTCAAGTAATGCTTCGTTGCGCATTTGTTTATGTTTACCTAAGAATGGGTTCGTTGATGTGGATCCATGAACCTAAATGAATTTAAAATTGCTCTTTTGCAAAGGAAGAGTCTCAACGTATTCAAATTTTTAGAAAAAAATGTGAAATTAAGAAATATTGAGTGTAAAATAAGAATTAACCAGATCTGCTAAGCCACGTCGATTTTTATAGAAAAAAAAGATCATTACTAGAGATCGAAATGTTAAGGCGGCTGCAACGTGCACAGGATTGGCTATGATCCGAATTCTCTTTTGTCATTTTGTTCAAACAAAAAGTGACACAATCGATGCCTTCTTATAATTGCTCTCTTTACATTATGACAATATAATGTACGTATTTGCATAATAGTCAATTGAACATGGATAAAAACGCTTAGCAATAAAATCTTAAGAGTTTCATAGGAGTCCCTAAAAAAGTTTTCTGCTAAAAGTAAAAAATAATAATTGTATTTAATCTGTAGAAAATTTCTATTATATGTTCATTTGGCCAACAACATATTTTATAATAAAATAATTCCGCATTGTCGCACTGCATTGCTAGGCAATTTGTCAACAACTGAAATTCATGGCCCCGTCGCCCAGTGCGGTTGTGTTTGTGCGCCGTATGCGCGCATTCTTTAACTGGGCGTATACATTTCTACCACTTCCACGTTTAGTTCGACCTGACCTGTATATGGGCATGGCTAAATAAATATGAGAACAAGTTGTTAAAATATTTCAATGCCTAGTTGCTGCGTAGCGACCGAACCTGGTACATACTGCATAGCTCTTCGGTCTCCAATTGAAATCGGAAAGACTATACCAGCAAAAAAATAATATTTATTATTTATAAGGAAAGCGATCGTAGAAAATAATTAACAGTTGCCCTAAGTATTCCGCGGTTAATTATCTTCAGTAAATACCCATTTCAAAAACGAAAATGACCGTTTAACAATTACGGAGTTCGCAGGCGCGTATCTAAAAAAGCTTTTAATATATCCTATTTTTATTAATGTTGGCAAGCATCAACTACTTTACATTTTAGTAATCTCACTATGTCTGCCTTTGATCTGAAGCTTCGCATCGATCAATTTATTCGACCTGGCGTGCCAGTGAACAATCCAGATTTTTTGCTGACTTTAGCCGTGCATTTCATTGTCGTTTGTGCGTGTGGTGAGTCATTTTGACGCTTTGCTTTGATCGAGCGTATGGCACTATGATTGTTATAATAAAATTCTAAATAATGAAACATTTTTTAACATAAAACAAATTGGCAACTGAGATAATTTTAGATGTCACAAAGAGAAATTAAAACGTCCATTATTTTTACAGCAGTCTAATTCAGAGAAAGTGTTGATGAGGACAATAAATATACAGAACAACGTTGGTATTTTGGAACAACTTTCTATCATTTTGTCTACAGCAATTTGTTTGATTAATAATTGTTTATTTATTTAAATGTTTGTATATGTTTTCAGGTTCTATGTGCCACATTCCAAGGCGTAGATTCAATTCTTCTATTACACAGTATTTGCAGAATTTTATTAACGATGCTTATAATTTTGGATGCGTGTATCCAAGTATAAATAATTTATTAAGTACCAGTTTCATTTTATGTCATTTACAGATTTCTAATTATTTAATTCCTTTTCGACACACTTTCTTCAAAAATATTTATTCATGTTTGTAATATGAATTTTAAATATATGTATGAAATGTAAAATATTTGGAGATTCTACTTTTAGCACGATTTGTACGGATGAGAGAGATCATATTAATATTAAATATTATTTGTATGCATTATAAGTAAGTTCAAAGCATCATCTAATTCAAAAATGGGAAACAATGAAAATTTCATTAATAATTAGAGGGCATATAATCTTAAGAAAACCTAAAAAAATGTTTTGTTAATAATTTTGCTTAATTAAATCGTAATAATACGTCATTCGACCTTATCTTCACAATCATTGCATTATAGAAGTAGATATGATTCTAGAAGTCTACAAACATAAATATTTGCGGAAAGAATAGACAATTAAGGTGTTTCGTTTGATACAATTTTAGTATGAATTTAACATTTTGCAAATTATTGTTTCTAAACGGATCTAATACCTAAATAGGTAATAAATAATTTTTCATTGTTTTATACAATAGTCAATGAAAAATTATACTAGGGTTTAAAATTTACCTAATACCGCAATTTAGTAGAGTGAAAACAAATTTCGGAACATACAAAAAGATCTAATATGATTGCTGACTGCTTGGAAAGTGCAGCCCGTCACTAAAACCATCAATATTAATTTCCATTTGCCAAAATTGATTTCTTTTTCACTGTTAAAATTAGAATTTGACAGCGTTTGACATTTTGCACAGATTAATGTTTTACATATCGTAATTTCCACTTCCCGCCAACTCGCGGTACAGCAGCGCCTCTTTTAACGCGTTGTCAAACTATAAGGAAACGAACTTCACCAGTTGTGTATTTTAAAATCCATAAGTATTTAACTTTATTTTAAATATTTGGTTGTTCAGATTTATAATTGTATACGCCATTAATATTAATATAATAAGTATAAAACAAATGATGATCGTTATTTTTTCTAAAAAGTACCCAAAAATGAAGTAACACAACGTTATACTGCATCCCTCTTCGAACTATTTTCACAATTAATTACTGAGAAATAATAGAAAGGAGAAAATATTAATCTTACTTTACTTAGTACTTAGTATAATTCAAATAATACTCAAGCTTCATGCAGAAGTACTGATTGCTGTATCTTTTTGGCTTCAGAAAATATATGAATAAAATAAAAAAAAATTTAAATAAGCAAGAAATGTTACGTTTAAATTTTATATGAATTTAAAAATGAGTATATTTTTATGAAATTTGGTATGGTCGCATTTTGAAAGTTGTACAAAAATATAATGTTATTAAATTACAGATAATTAGAGGGTTTACATAATTTTTGGAAAATTACCAAGATAGAGACTTAATTTTTCTAGTTTTCAAATATGTGCCCTTTTGGGGTATGTTTATATAAACATATATTTTACTTCATATGTTTTTTACATACTATGGTAAATTGTACACCCATAAATCAACTTACCCTGTAATATTATTTTAGTAAATAGGGTAGTAAATAATTACCATATTTAGAATCATTTTTTTATTTTACAATTTTTCCTTATTTAATTCTATAAAACCTAAATCACTGTCAAAAATCAAAATTCTTCAATCCCTCGTCTCGCAAAACATGATGTTCAGTGGTTGCCTATCTATATCAATAAGGTCAATAATTTCAACCATAGATAACTATTAGAGAATAGGATAATTTTGTGTCGTGGTATTTCTCACCTAAGATCGTTAAAGAAGCGATCTTGTTTTACACCACCATTCTATGCCACGGCCACACGGCCATCAAAATCGTTAAAAAGGTATACATAAGATATGGAGCGTTCGGTATTAATATATAGATGCTTTGGACTTGTTTTGTCTTTTTCTAATTGCAACAAATGAAATGATGAACAGACTCATCTAGAGCATCTACATCTAAATATCGAACTTACCCTATATTTTAGCGACGTTGTCAGACAACTAACAATTAAATTTTTTATTGGCGGGCATAAATGTCAAAAGTCAAAATACAACTGGTTGCTACTGAACCTAACCTATAACTACATAAGTTATATTATTTAATAAAACATAATCTGATGAAATGGATGAAAACATAGAAAGAGTATCTGTAGAGTACAAAAATCTCTCAGAAAAATTTTCAGAGCAGTCAGCAAACTACAATAGACAATATTGCAGTATTTATTTGGCCCGTCTGAAAGAAATGGAAACATTACTTACAGAAAGGATTGCAACGAAATGGGGCGATAAATTCCCCATATGTAAACTGCACAAACTGGCAGAAGTAAGTTATGATAAATGCATCGTTATCGGCACAATATTTAAAGACCAGAAGTTGAAACCGTCCATATTGAAACAATTAGCGGAGGCTAATCAACTTACTCCACAACCAATACTCCATCATTTTACTGATGAATCTGACCAGCTTTTTCTTGAAGATGAGCTCCAAAGATATCTGTTATTGGGTAACTATGCTGTTTGCAGTGTTATTTCAATTATGACAATTTTATTTGTAGGAACTTTAGATATAAAAAAATTAGTGACAGGCATAACATGCGCTTTACTGGGATCTGACATGGGTAAGGGGAAGTTCATGGTGGAAGATTACATCTTTGCTGGTTACAGACAACAAATAGAAAGGCCTTTATTTAATGACGATGTATATGTAGTTTTCCTTAGTGCCCTCAATTTTATAAAACATGAAAACTTTACATCTAACCTAGAACTTTTCGCATATTGGATGAGTGGTATGCTTGGGGACGAGGACACTGTCTCAAAAGTTGCTAGAGTTATAATAGCTGGAAATAGCATTAAAACTGTCACCGAGAAACTAAGACCGACCATATCATTGACTAGTCGAGTTACGGAATCCACCGAATCGATAGAAGCTGTGAAGTCGTTCGACTATTTCCTATTACAGCTATGCGAGTTAGTCGATGTTGATGTAATGCCGGGTGAACACGACCCATCCAATCACATTTTACCGCAAAAGAACATGCATTACTGCATGTTTCCCAAGTCGTCAGTGTATAAATCTCTGAACCAGGTACCCAACCCTTACTTCTGTTCACTGGATGGTCTCAAAATTTTTGGAACGTCGGGACAACCCGTCAGGGACATCATGAATTTTTCAGAAATCACCGATCCTCTAGAAGCTTTAGAAAACTGTTTACAGTGGAATCATATAGCGCCTACGGCTCCAGATACTCTAGGATGCTTTCCGTATTATAATAAGGATCCTTTTATCCTCGACGATTGCCCTCATGTTTTCTTTGTTGGAAATCAGGCAGAATTTGGAACTAGGATGGCCAGCGGTTAGTTTCTTTTTAGATACATTAATTAATTAATAGAAATCATATTTTTTTAAAAATTATGTAGCTTGGCATTTTATTAATTTTGATAAGAAAATTTCATTGAAATCTGTGTTTACAGTAAATAAATTAACACATAAATTTGAAGCACTATGGTGCGTCAGCTAAAATATCTATTTATTTATTTTCCTTTATTAATTTAAGACATTATCATATATAAATAGTCATAATAACAAAGGACCCCACAACTATCCTTATGGAAAACCGGTCCCGGTCGAATGGTACGAAACTTTGCCGAATGATAGTCCTCAATGTGTCGATCAAAAGTCCATGAGACCTAGGTCTGAAAAACTACTGTACTGAAGTTATCAAATCAACGTGCTCGATGACCATCAAGTCCAATGATTTACGGGCGAGTAAAAGCAAATACATATATCTTTATAAAGTGACCAATCTGGCTGTTTCTTGATGTATTTTCGTGTGCTGAATGCGAATCTGTAGTCAAAATAGCTGTATCATCCTTTAGTCTTCAGAAAATCGGTGAAGCACCTACTGAAGAACAGCGATAGCGACACGTACTGCTTGAGCGACTTCTTATGTTTTTACGCATGCTGAACACTTATCCGTCATCAGCATATCTGCAGCATTCACCAATCTTCAGAAAATAGCTGAAGCACTTTCAGAAAACTTGACTTGATGGTCATCGAGCACGTGGATTTGATAACTTCAGAAGGCTGTAGCTTCAGTACAGTAGTTTTTCAGACCTAGGTCCCATGGACTTTTTTGATCAACACATTGAGGACTATTATTCGGCAAAGTTTCGTACCATTCGACCGGGATCGGTTTTCCATAAGGATAGTTGCGGGGTCCTTTAATAACTAAAATCTTAAATTGTCGTTAGGGAATAAAAATACATTTCTTTTAAAAATTAATATAGCCACTTTTTAAACAGTTTCTGTCATAATCTATTTCACAATTTGCAATCAATCGGTAAATCTTTTATGTCCCATTAGGTTGACTCGCCAATTATTTTTAAACCAGCACAATTGTACAACTTATGCTTGTCCTGTAGATGGATAGGTATTTACATTATGATAGTGACTTTAACACAAAGTTACTTTTATTTTTAAAAATGCAAACATTTATTTCAAATATATACAGGGTGGTCCAGATTTTAATAGAAATATCGGGAAAGTAATAAACAACAAAAATTAACATCACTTTGCTCTATGAACATAGGCGCAGAAAGCCACCGTTTGAGACAGAAATAAAATAATGTTTTTTCATCCGGAATGTTTCAGACCACTATAAAATGTACAGTATAACCTCGATTATCCGACCTATTGTGGACTGGCACTAGGTCGGATAATGGAAAAAGTCGCATAATCCAGGTTCATTTATTTTTATTATTTTTTCAAGAAATAAAACAGCAGAAATCGACATAGATCGTTGGATATCGGATAATATGGTTGAACGTCAGTTAACATGGAATCGCCATTTCGGCCCCGATGTCGGAAAATCAGGAGGATGGATAAACTGAGGTCGGAAAACCGAGGTTCTACTGTATTCATATTACCAATTAATTCAGTGACGCAGAAGTTTTACTTTAAATAAGGAAACCATATCCTCGTTTCTCCGCCACTGGTTTTTGAATTTCGACTGTGTGCATACAGAACTAGGAGAAATATTTGAAAAAAATGTGTACCAAATTGGAATAAATTTGATGAAGCGGTTTTCCAGATATTTAAAAATATATCTCATAAACGGTGGCGTTCTGCGCCTATGTTCATAGAGTAGTGATGTTAATTTTTGTTGTTTAGCACTTTCCCGAAGATTGTCTATTAAAATCTGGATCACTCTGTGTACAGGTTGTCCCAGAATACAACAGAAGACCATAGATTCGTGAACTCAAAATAGGCTGATTTAGGCTAATTCACCTATATCCGAAATCGCTTAGTTTGGCCACTAGATGGCCTCAAAGTTAGTGAAAACTTTTTGAATTTTGTAAATAACCTTTGCTTTCGATCTACACATTTTGATGTTAGTGTTTTTTAAAACTTACAACTCCTATAAAATTGATGTGTGGTGATATCTGTTCATAACTTTTTCCTCTTTCGGGCAATAATAACTATTTTTTAATCTGATAGGTGATACCATTTGGAAGTTTTTGGGACTTTTTGTAGAATTTTGATTAAATGAGCGGTTAGGGTACAAAAAATATTTTTTTACCTACGACCACTACTGTAAATATTTAAAAACACACCGTCTGCGATCAATGTAACATTCCTATTACGTACGGTAAAAAAATCGCACAGTTTTCCTAGCAACCGCCTAGCAATGGTCAATACTGTTTGTATTGACCGTTGCTAGGCGGTTGCTAGGAAAACTGTACGATTTTTTTACCAAGCTGTGCGATTTCTTTACCGTACGTAAAATAGAAATCTTACATTGATAGCAGACGGTGTGTTTTTAAGTATTTACAGTAGTGGTCGTAGGTAAAGTATAGTACATAATACGTGGTGTAATGCAATTACGCACTCATAGAATTACGCACTCGCCGCTACGGGGCGTCGTGCGTAACTTTTCCATTTGTGCGTAATATGCTTTTTACAACACTTATTACGTAATATACTATTAAATGTCTACATTATCTTGCCACCCATATTACAACACTCAACAAAGTGCTAGTAGGCACTGATTTTGTAAGTTGACTGTAATTCAGCTTGATCTTTAACCCTTTCACTGCTCCAGACGTATATATTCGCTAAAAATTTATAGGGCTCAAACTGCTCCAGACGGATAAATTCGCATGAATAGTTAAATTGGATCAGGCTGCTCAAACCGTATATATTCGCAACCGTGCGCATAGTGACTCGGTTATTGCAATTGGTAAGGCGAATTTTTGCGGGCGAGCTTATACCGATTGTGACAAATATTTTTATGGAAAGAGGTACTGGTAATAGTACCAAGATTGTTCATGTTTCTTTCAGTTTCTATTTAGTACATATACTGTATTTTATTCAAAATAAAATCGTAAAATTTATCGTAAATCGTCATTTAACACAACATAATGTAAAACTATAAGTGGTCTAACTGCTCCAGACGTATATATTCGCACGCGATAAACAATCGCGCACGGCGCGGTAGCTACGTTCAGACGTATTGCGCAGCGAAAGGGTTAAGTCATTGTACCTGCCAATTCTTAATGAATATTTACTACGATAAGATACACCACGTTACTTCATTTTTCAAAGTGGATACACATACGGCGAATTATAGTTATTTACAATATGCCTAATTTTATCGAGATAATTAACTTAACAGTTTCCCCACATTTAAGCTTAGCGTTGAGTTTTTAAATTCTCACATTTCTTTTGCCTGTTGTGAATTCACATAACCCGAGTTTTCTTAGGATTCATACAAAATTGATGTTGAAAAGAATAATTAATTAACGATGACAAAATGTGTTTACAGTTCTGTTGGATTAATTCAACAATTTTTAGAGAAACGTGCGTATTATAGTAAAATATTGTCGCCTCCGTTTTCTACTGGATTCTTGTTGTGCGATTTTTTCGATGCCACAGCTAGTGAGTCTCCTGGGAAGGCGTAGAACTTCGTATTGTTGTTTTTTATAAAAAAAATCACAAAACTTTCAAAGATGGTTTGATACTGAAATAATAGTCCAAGATTTAGTTTACCTTGGCCCGAGTCAGTAGTAGATTCGTATTTCGTATGTGTCCGTCACTATCTAAATTTAACTGACGACTGATGACTGATGACAGCGATGTCGCCGTTTTTCGCTATCTGCGAGGATTTTGTGTTTATTTTACATTAGATATAATGCAGTCTCGGGTTCGGTGACAATATGCTAAAGATATGTGCTCAATATCGTTGATGTATAAAAGAAAAAGTATGGGACACAAAATGGATCCTTGAGGAACACCCATATTTATATCTAAGGGCTCTGATGTTACACTTCTCGCTATACGAGTAGCAAATGGCTACTTAAAATCAAGTTGCAGCCCCATCGTTCCTGAACAGTTTGTTTTCTTTTTATTGAAGTTATTATCTCGATTATTAATTGAGATACACAGTTTAAGGCACCTGTACATTAATCAAGAAATTGCATGGTTTCCAGAATGTCGTTAGAAATTTTTATTAACTTCCGTCTTTGTTATTGATTTTATTCTTTCTCATCACTGTTTTTTTGTTGTAATTCTCGGTAATTATTGATGTTACCTAAATTTTTTAAATTTATAAAATATGTAGTGGCATTCCTTAAATTCAATTATCTCAATTAATAACAGAGGCAATTAACATGAACAAAAAAACAAATTGTTTAGAAATGATGGAACCGTTTGCTAGAAATAAGTATCTGCTATTGTAACGGGTCGCTGCTTAGGATAAACCTATAAATAAATAAAAAACATAACATAACAATTTCGTTTTTTAGGTGAAAATGGTCAAAAAGTCCGGCTGATTTCCATTCCAGAGTTCTGTAACACTTTCCAAGCAGTTATTCTGAATTTGAAGACTTTGGATTGTAACACTGTGATTTTCGATACTTGTAAGTAACCGTTATATTTAGTCTTAGTGGAACTTTTTAAATTATTGTTTTAAAATCATATTCATAAGCTCGCCTCGATTTTTGAAGTAATAAAACATGAAATTACAAAATAAAAATAACTTTTATTCTACTAACTCTGAAACTTAAAATTTTATTATGGTGACATAACAAAATTTTCAATATTGGGAGAAAAGTCCCGTTCCTACTTTCCTGAACTTAAATGGCCGTTTCCTGTTCCTCCCACTGAAAATAAAATAACAAAAATTTTTTATAGAAACTAATATAATTACTATGATTCAAAAGTAAATTGTACTGCATGAAAAACCAGGTTTCGATTCAGGACACATGCTAAGATACATATACATTCTGTCAAAAAAAGTATCCCAAATTTTCTCCATAAAATAGATTTAAATTTCTTTTTCGACAGAAAATTGGCAGCACTGTCCTCTACTCTGATGCGAAATTTGAGCACGATCTGTCAAGTAATTTGTTTACAACTGTTAATTTTGTTAGTCCACCTACAGTGTGTTCTGCGATTTTGGTTTCGACTCATTAGAAAAGCGCTATTCCAAAGCTTGGCTCGTTTGCATATTTGCATGTTTGTCACCTGTTATGATGCATTGCATGAATGTGTAGAGTCCAAATTATCTCGTCCAAGCACGTCTTCAGCAACATGTTTGCGATGCTCTTTTTGAAGAAAATTCAGCTCTTTTGGAACTAGTCGTGTCGCAATGCCTTTCATACCCAAAATATCGACTAAAATGATGCAAACGGATTCGTGAGATATGTTTATTTCATATGCCAGCTCTCTGAAGCTATAATGACGGTTTGCAAACAGCATTTCTTTCACTTTAACGATGTTTTCTTCATTCGATGACAAAGAAGGATGATCAGTATGTGGCAAATCATCAACCACTTCTGCGACAACACTGAATTACCGTACATCTTTCCCGACATTTTCAACGATTTAGCACAAGAAATTCCGTTGGTAGTACAAAATTTTAGGCAAACTCTTTGTTCAATTACATTATCCATAGTAAAAATCGCAGAATCCACTTTATGTGGAATTTTTAAATAAAAAAATCCGGCATACTTTTTTCACAAAATGTACAGGCTGGTCCATTTTCGGTGGGATTTCAGGGTATCTCAGAAACTACTAAAGATATGATAAATGTGACAGCACGTTCTCGAGCTCGATTTTCATGGCAAACTCGACTGTCAAATCAGAAATTTGCTATCTCCATTTGTTTCTGAGTTACAGGGCATTTTTCGTTATTGTGACACTTTTGAACATGTCTGTATCTCAGCTGTTAAATAAGGTAGAGTTAAAGTGAAAACTGCTCAAGACTAATTCTTTGGCGTAGAATTGAATGCCAGTATTACAATTTTAGTAGATCTTAAGATTTTGGAGTTATATTTTTTTAAATGGAAATCGTAGCTGGTCATGACCTAAAAAAAAGGAGATTGTTTTTGCTTTTCAGCAATATATCACATGCTATAGTTATTTTTACAAACATTTTTTTCCTTTTTCCTTGACTGGCTATGAAAATACAGATAAAACCATAATCGTTACTTTTACAAAGGTCATACCTGTTGTAAAAATATTACGTTTATTTTAAATGCACAACATGTACTCGTATGATAATATAATACCAACAAAATTTTAGGAGATAGGTGAATAGGAACAAACAAACCGATCAGATGGCCAGCTAGTTTACCTGATTTGAGACCATTGGACTTTTTCCTTTTCTCCTTTTTTACAACAGATATGACCTTTGTAAAAGTAACAATTATAGTTTTATCTGTACTTTCATAGCCAGCCATATTAAAAAGGAAGAAAATATATAATTTATATGGAAAACACCCCATACGTCCTGTGATTATAAAAATAACTATAGCATGTGATATATTGCTGAAAAGCAAAAAAAATCTTTCAGGTCAGAACCAGCTATGATTTCCATTTAAAAAAATATAACTGGGTCATAACACCGAAATCTTAAGGTCTACTAAAAATTCAATTCTATGCCAAAGAATTAGTCTTGAGCAGCTTTCACTTTAACTCTAACTTAATTAACAGCTGAGATACAGACACGCTAAAAAACACGACAATAACGAGAAACGCCCTGTAACTCAGAAACAAATGAAGATAGCAAATTTCTGATTTGACAGTTGAGTTTGCCATGAAAATCGAACTCAAGAACGTCGTGTCAGATTTATCATATCTTTAGTAGTTTCTGAAATACCTTGAATTCCCATCAAAAATGGACCAACCCTGTACATGGTGTAACTTTAAATGAGGCAGTTTTTTAGACTTAATAATACCTATTCCCTGAATGCCAATCTAAAATAATTTTTTCGATAAAAATGTACCTTTTTTTTCCTGCACTTTGTTTTTATATTCAAAATTATGATCCCGCCATAAAGTCTATTTTTCATCGTGTTGAGAGTGGAAATAAAGTACGAACCTGGAATGTACAATGTACTCTTGGACCTTAACAAGTACTTACCAAATATTTTTCAAGAACATGACGTTCTGCGGAAACGCTTTGGTATCCAACGATTCCAAATAAACGTCTAAATAGCAACACAAATGGTATATTTGTGCCGAGAGTAGCCATGAGGAACTTGCCTCTCCGTGTTCCCACTCAACGTTTAGGATCCTTTCCAAATCCTACAAAACATTACAATAAAAGCTGCAAAATTGTTAATTTAAATAAGCGATTGCTGGTTTATATCCATATTATATTTATTATACATATTTTGATCAGTATTTATGGGTCAAACACTTCAACATTTAGCAATTCTGAACTTACTCTTATATCATCGCAGTTGCCCGAGTGGTAAATGCCATTATAGTTGAGGCAAAGCGAAAATATAGGCGGGACCTCGGGGTAACTATTTTTTATAGCGATCAGCGCCTGCATATTAGCTGCAAAACAAAAAAATGTTTTACACTAACAAATTAAAACTATATTGGATATTTTTCTACCACACTGAAAAGAGAGAATATTTTAATAAACAGCTCTTTGCACCCAAAAGAATCCATCGGAGAGTTGTTTTTATAAATTTAGTTTTGCCTAACTGGAAATATTTTAAGTCAATTCAAGAACGAATGTTTTGATAACAAAAACAAAAAGAGTTTTCAAAACACTGTGTAATGTTATAATAGTGATTATTGGCTATTTCATGGCTAGGCAAAACTAAAGAGTGACCGCAAAAAACCTGCGATTTTCGCCTGTTTTTTCACAATTCCAGAAGAATTAAAACAAATACAAAAACAGCTTTTTTTTGGTCGCAAATTACTTGTCGTAAAAAACTGAAATGACTGACTTAGGGGTTCAAAAAATGCCAAAAATGAAGAATTTGAATATTACCAATTGATATAAAGACTATTTGCATGTGAATTATTCTATCGGGTTAATATATTTTTTTTTGGAATTTTTACAATTATTATTTCTGATATTCACTATTTTTGAGGATAATTCCACCCCTTGAGCGCGCTTAAAGTTGGATTTTCTAATTCAACATGCTTATTTCAGTCATGAGAATAAATCTTTCTTTGTATCAAGAATCATTCGATAGAAAAATTCACATGCTAATACTTTTTATATTTATTGGTAATATTCAATTCTTGATTTTGGGCGTCTTTTCAACTCCTAAATAGGGGTGATTTTAGAAAATTTTTAAAAAACTGAAAGCTATGCTCATCCTAATTTTTTACGAAGAGTAATTTGGGATCAAAAACATATTTTTATCTATTTTATTTAGTTCTCTGCGAATTGTGAAAAAACGGGCAATTTTAGCGGTCACTTTATAAAAACAACATTTTCACTGATCGTTTTGGCGCAAATGGACAAATGGCTCCTGCGAAAAGTCTATTTGCAGTGTTGTACCAGTAAGATGATAGAAAATCAATAAAAGCATAACTAAAACTACTAAAATTGTACTAAAAAATGAAATGCACCACCAATAAAAATAGATAGAATTTTTTAAATACCCCACTTTATCGACGCTTTGACATAATAAATTTTCGTTCGTGTACAGTACTCAACTATTTTTTCTAAATATTAGCATATTTTTTCAATTTCGTCCTAAGTAAAAAAAAATTTAAAAACTTCTCGGGACGATCTGGACAAATAATCGTCTCTGTGATTGCAGTTTAAATTTTGTTTAAAAAAAATCATAAACATTAAACATATTCCTAAATCATGAATATAGACCCAAAACATAACCTCAAATTTATAAATCTTAACCTAAAACGAACATACTCAATTTTTTCTGATTTTTTTTTTGTTTGGCAGTACATAATTTTCCTTTTTTTTTTCATTTTTAGATACCGAATATGTCAAACTTCGTATGATCGAGTTTGAGGCTAGAGATTACTCGTCCATTTTGAAAATGGCCGAGTGACTCGAATTTTTTTCAATATTTCTCACTAGAACGTATGCCAAAGTTATGACAAAAATATGAATGTTTCATGTCGAAAAACTGTGGGAGAACAAATTTCATTTAAATATATCAATTATTTCGAAGGTTATTTAAAAAAATTGAAAATAAAATTTTCATTTTGACGTCCTGTAACTCGATTACTATCAACTTTTGGACTAAGGAAAGTTTAGCCAGATCACATTATTATGACGTCACAAATCACCCGTTTCTCTACAGGGTCGGAAAGTCCCCATGGGTCATCGGCCGTTACGTGAGAGCAATAAAGTAAGTCATAGAAATCCGTGTGATAGAGAAGGATGGCTATAATGAGGGCGTCTCATAGTCACCGCCCGTTTCGCCCTTCCACAAATAAGATCCACTTCCACTTGTAATTCAGAGACAGGTGGTCATCTTTGTTTTCGTCGTTTGGCTTTTCTTTAATAGATGTCATTACTTATACAATTTCGATTTCGGTATTGCGATATGTTAATACCATCCGTTAACAGAGGGCAGCACAACGCGTAACAAAGAAAACCTCTGTTTGTAAATCTAGTGACCTTGTTTCCCCTACTGAGAAGTTATTCAAATGGAGTATAGTGCTCAGCTGCATTTAACGTCCATTTAGTTGTTATTTAAGTATACTTTTTAAAATGACTTAAAAATCCCCAGAAATAAAGCAAAATTCCCTATTTCCCCAATTCCAAAAAAATCTGTAGATCACTCTTTCTTGGGCTGCGCCTCACCTTAGACAAATTGTGCTGCCCTCTGTTAACGGATTGTATTACCATATCGGAATACGAAGTGGAAATTGTATAAGTAGTGACATCTATTACAGAAAAGGCAAACGACGAAAACAAAGATGACCACCGGTCACTGAATTATAAGTGGAAGTGGATCTTATTTGTGGAAGGGCAAAACGGGCGGTGACCATGAGACGCCTTCATTATAGCCATCCTTCTCTATCGCACGGATTTCTATGACGTACTTTATCGCTCTCACGTAACGGCCGATGAACCATGGGGACTTTCCGACCCTGTATGTACCATTCATTACGGGACACCCTGTATACAACGTTCTTGATCTGATAAATTCGGTCGTTTACCGCTACCCTGATTATTAGATTGGCTGCAAACACTCGCAAATGATCTAAACAACACTTGTTAATAACTAAAATGTGACAATAATAACACATCTTTCCCACTTCTACGCTTATGACAAGCACTGACATGACTCAGCTAGAATCTGATACATGGGAGAGCATTCAACAAGTCAAATCATGCAGCTTTAATCATCCCTCTTTTTGTATCTGATAAGGAAAAACAGAAATAGGTGCAGATGTAGGCTAAACATATTGGAACACTATGCAAAATGAACAGCACATTACAATTTCCAAACGCAAAATTATACAATTTTGAACTTGGAGTGTACTTTAACGATAAAAGAAAGTATTTCTAACAAACTATAATTGACATCGAAAGATACGAGTTAATATTTTTCTCACCGTTTCCCCTGCGGATTGTAGCAGAATAAAAGAGATCCGAGGGTGAAATAAACTCGTCCTCTATCAGGTTTTGGACGAACTGGTGTTGACAGAATGACTGGTAAGTGATCGACGTCCATTTGACCAACGAAGACACTGGATTAGAAGGCGCTTCTATAATTTCCGGTAGTTTGGGGATGATATTTTGTTCTGCAAAAGGTGTTGTTAATATAACCGTTAAAAAATAAACATATCTATTTTAAAAAATTTACCTAGTTGCTGAAGCTGATTGGCCAAATCGTTCCTAGCGCTCAGCCTTCTCAGTAATATCTTCACAACAGTTTCCACACTCGCGCTGCTAATATTATCACTGCTCGCCTTCTAACAAAAAAAAAAATGGGTTAAGCTGGGAGTACGACTGACGATGAATCGAAACGAACCTGTTTCGACAAGAAATCCATGCCGCAAACGCCTTGCGCCCAAGTGTAGGCATACCCAATTTGAGGCACCAGGGATTGGTAGGAGTTAACGCCGATTTTCTTCAGGTGGTAAGGCGTTGTGGGGTTGGGACTGTCCGTGCCGAAATCGCCTTCTCTCAGTTCCCCGAGAATGTTTTCTCCGGAGAGAATTTCACGGGCAGTGTTTGCTTGAATTAGAAAATAATTTAGTTTTCAATAGATCGATTTCGTACGACGCTCTCTTACCAGTGATACTAGAGGGAATAGACACTTTAGAGGTAACGGTTACGATTTTCAGCTTGGTGTAGTACTGGAACGTTACGGTGATGGATGGACCGCTGTTCACACTTGCCGTGATCTCTACCGATAAGGGGTGGACTTCGAGTAACCGCTTCTTCTTCTCTTCCATAGGGTCGATCTGTTGGACGGACTTGCGGTGGCGTCTTTTTTTCACCTCTACAACTTCCTGCGGGCATAAATTTCTCAAAATTTCAAATTTCAAAGCACAATCAAGGAAGACGTTTTTTTGGAAATAACGGTCAATAAAATTTAAAATGGGTGAAACTGGTGAAATGGGACGGACAGCTTTTACATTAACAAATTTTTCTTACAGTCGAAGAAGTTTCTGTGCTTATTCAAATACGTTTATTTTTCATCACATTTTGTGATAACAAATTCTAAATCTGGAAAATACGATTTGCTCAGGGGCCTTAAGAGTCCGTCGCGCGCTTGAAATAAACCCATACTTTGCACTCGGCATAACACTTATTTGGAAAACGAATAAACATAGTGACCCAAATAAAAAAACAATTGAAAGAAAAAATTGTTTCCTAGGGTTGTTGTGTAATAGTTTTTTCAAAATTATTTTTTTATTGTTTAAATTTAAAGAGTAAACTGTGCAAGAAATGGCCATATTTACATTTTATTTACTTAATAATAAACGCTTAAATAAAAAATTGCTTATACGAGGGAAGTGAATCTATCTTTTAGCTTTGCAATAGCTACACGAGCAGTTTTATCGACCGATTTGACCGATTTATCGTTGAATTGCATAAATTGTAAAGACAAAACTGCTAGTTTGGGTTATCAAGAAAAATTGTAAAATGCCAAAATTTTGGCGGATAAATTGCTGCCAAATAATTTGAAGCGATTATTTTGTCATGTGCACTAACACAATGATTAAACGGCAGATAAATCTGTCGTGAATTATCAGGTGATATTTTGTAGAGCGTCATCTGCATGTTAGTAAATATTGTAGGAAATATCTGCGCGATATGTGAAATCGGTTAATTTCTGTCTTCAGTTCAGAACATACTATAAATTCAAATATGGCATAAAAAGAATTTATTAGTGGACTGATCGATTTATATTGTAACCACCCGTGTTTATGGAAAACAACCTCACGAGAACATACAAATAAAAATATTAGAAACGAGTTATAAGGAATTAGTGGCGTGTTGTATTCTTTCCACAATAACCATGTTTTAACCCACTTTGTTCACTTTTTATTTCTTCTGTGTTGTTTTATTATGGGTTACCATCATTCCAAGTAATAAAACGCATTTAAAGTCGTTTTTGTTTATGTTTTCGTAGAACACTCGAGCAAATTACACTTACAAGTAACAAATAAATTGCTCTGATTTTTTGGAGTTCCGAAAGATCAACGATGACAGAATAATCTTACCAAATTTAGAGATAAATCTTTGTGAATGACACAGACGTAACGAATAAACAGTCAGATAAACTTTGTACCATAATTCGATTTAATAAAACTTCGCATTAGTGTCCTCTCTAAGACTTGTCTGAAAGATTTTTCTTAACGATTTATATGACGATTATTTTGTACAATTTATCGCTCCAATAAGTCTTTGCGTGTGTATTCAGCTAATGATACCAAAATTATACCGATTTGATAAATATTACTCAAAATTCTATGCTAAATCTCCAACGCCTACAACTTCAGAAAGGAATATATTTTAAATTCTTCAACCACGTTTTTTAATAAATACGATGGGCTAAGAGATTGGTATTGCAGGCAGGACCGGAGTTCAAAGAACTATCTAGTTATAATCCATACGTTGTCAATTGAAACGATATTGAATTAAACGATCAAACTTATGTTTGTCTTTACGTCAAATGAAAAAAGCAGTCTCGGTCAAAATTGAAAATTGCTGTGGATATGAGTTATTTTTGACCTCTGAAATAAAGTCTCGATCATAAAAACCCCGGCAGATGGTTTGATTGTCTGCGTTTGGTCACTTTTACTCTATTTTTAGTAGCATTTCAGACACGTGTGTAGATGGAGTAAAAGCCCAATGCGAGTAGCAATTTGACTCATTTGCAAGGAAGGATAGTGACATTATGTTTGTGGGTGTATCATCCACAAAAACGGTGATGGAGGAAAACTGGTCGATGGAACAGATGAGAGATGCGTGTAACCCTTTTTGGGATTGGCTCTTAGCCGTTGGGAAAAAGGGATATTGGGGTGCGGATGGCGTGACAATCCGACAATATATTCGTAGGGGAAAATGGGTGATGAAGTAGATGTGGCAGGTACAACAGATTATATATGCATTTAACCTCTCTTCGGGGCAGTTTTTGGCCGGTTTGATTGGGGAGATTTAAAAAATGGGGGTTGTTATGATCAGAACTTTATTCCAGAGGCCAAAAATAACTTGTATTCACAGCAATTTTCAATTTTAAAGTAATTAGTGCCTGGTCCTTTTATATTTCAAAGTTTTTACAATAAACTCGGTTGTTAATGTCGTTCAAATATATTTTTGGCTCATTTTATTTGACAGTAGAGTGAGTTGATCCAACATATTCAAAATAATCTACTAAGGGAAATACGGTACAAAGGCTAAATGTTGAATTCATCTAAAACGCCCCCACTAACGTTGCGATAATTGTACGAATCAGAAGTTAATATATTTTCTGTATGATCTTACAACTTAACCACTAATGTTACAATTTTATATACAATTCATTTCTAATTAGTACAGGTTTTGATTTGCGACAAATAAAATTTAAAATATTTTGGGAAGGCAAAACGTGCATAATTTTAGCTGGGAGGGTGACTGCGGTGTTACATAAAAGCAAAAAAAAGAGTAGCATTAAAAAATGAAACTGATGTCTGCGGCATGTCAGTTATTCAATTTTACGTTGCGACAAAAATTGTTTGTACAACTTCAACACTAACGGTACAATAGTTGTATCAGTTCTAATACAATTACTGAAGTAAACATTGTAACGTTACTGGCTCGTTTAAATCAATATAAATATACTAAATACGTTCACCATATAATCGTCGTAGTGGGAGAGCGATAGTCTCCGCCTCCAGCTGTAACGCCCGCGCACCCGACCCCGCAGCGATATCCGAGGAGTGTACAGAGAACGGACTCTTAACAATATATAAATTACATTATGTGAAACATACCTCAACTTCGGGTAAATCCGACTCACGCTCTGAATCGTCGTCATTTTGCGAACTTCCATTGGCGATTTCTTGAGCTTCTTTAAACTGTAGAGCATCGTCCTGATCCCCCAGTATATTAACGATTAAGCTAAGATCTGCAAATATATTATTAAATGTCTCTAAAGTTAGTATTTTTTTAATCGTACCGTACACGTTCTTGTAAGACACAATGTTGACGTAAAAAATGTATAAAGGGTCTGGTAAAAGAAACGCCAGCTTGTGTTCCGCTCTCAGTTGTTCGAATGGGACATCTAAATGTTCTTGTAAAGGCTTCGTTGCATTTATAATGTTCATAAGGAGAGGCCGTAAGGTGTTTAATTTCTCTTTTCGTTCCACAAGATCTGAAACCACATGTGCGAGTTTAATTGTTATGTAATTTTCTTATCTCTAGAGGCATACCTTGTCCTAATTTTTTTTGTTCTTCCACCAAAGACTTGCACAGTTCTGCAAGGCTTTTTCTTTGAGTCAATTCCCATTCCAATCTGGCTAATCGCAAATTATGTTTTTGTTCAGAGTCGTCTTCATTATACTAAAAAAGAGAAATGTTCCAAAATATATTTTATAAAATGAAAATGTATATTTACCTCTCCAAATTTATGTGTAAGGGACTCTGGTGCTTCTTTCATGAATTCTTCAAGAGAGACTAGTTCAATATCTTCGTCCTTAGATCTGTATGTAAAAATTGTGTTTATAAAATCATTAAAATTTAGCGGAAAGTTTACTTACTTGAAAGCCAGACACTTATTTGTTTCTGCTACTAAATGGTGCAACTCGTAAACTAAATTCTGGTAACTGAGTTTAATACTGTCACATTTTTGTTTCTCAACGCTTAAAGTCTCTTTTCCAAAAACGTGTTTAATTTTATCAATTCTATTAAGTTTCTTTATAACGCACAGTTTGACACAAATCTCAGTTAAACTCTCCCTATTTGCAGTGGTCTGAAAATAATGCCGATAAAAAGGTATGAAGCAATAATTATATTTTACATACGTCCACCGTTTTCTGACATTTCCTCTCGTAAATTTCTTTCAACATTTCTTTGATGTCTTGGCACATATCAAAGTATATACTGGCATCTACTGAACTCTCGCGACTTGCGGATTCCTTTTCTTCGAAATCCACAACTTTCTGCAAGATTTTGACAAAATAATATTGGTTAGTTAAGATACAAGAATTGTATGCTTTTTATTACCTTATAAATGTCTACATCGGGATCATTGTCAGTATTAGTATTTTTACGTTTCTTTTTTATACTAGAACTCGTTTCCTTTACCATGGTGTTTTATTTAATTTGGATATTATTATGCTTAACTTGAACACGAAGAGACGCCGCTTCTAACCTTAATTCGAATCTATAAATAAATCTAACATCTAACCTAAATCCTAAAAACATTAATAAGAAGATAATATAGAAATCTTCTTTATCTCGTTAAATATATTTCTATGAACCAGGCTCTAGATGTCGCTTTGTGTAACACAAATTTAAAGTCCCTATCAATTAAGGGACTTTCCATACATCCATATTGTATTGCGGTTTGCTATAAAAAGCAATAAATGAAATTTTATAAAAAAATATTAGTAGTTGGTTATTTAATACATTTTTCTCATTTTAAGTTTATAAATTATTTTACTTTTACGTATATTTATAATGTCTTTTTATTAGAACTTTTAAAATAAATTAAAAAGACAAAAAGATTGTGCCGAAACCAGGGATCGAACCAGGGACCTTTAGATCTTCAGTCTAACGCTCTCCCAACTGAGCTATTTCGGCTTATACAAGTAATTGTGTTCGTATCAAGTTCCCCCAGGTAGCTTGCAGTTGTTTTAATATTGACGCAGACAATAGAGCTTAACGATACGCTATACGAATATTTTCTGTGGTATTGAAATAGTTTTAGCTTGGTTTTATAAAAATTTGGTATTATTTATAAAAATAAAAACTTATAGGAATGATCAACTGTAAAATAGGTAAGCTATTACTAAAATGTAATGATTAAACTGATATGTACAATTTACAAAATTTGTGTTTCTTAACAATTTCGAATTAACGCTCTAACCTTAAAATAGCAAATATTGTTGGTGAACAGAGTTAATTTTTGCATAATTGTGTACATGTTTATTTACAGATGTGTCAAATAAATAACTTTAAACTTGCGAAGCATGTCGACTGGAGTTTTTATGAAAATTGTACCATTGTTTTGCGGCCGATTCTGATTCTGAAGATGCCCTGCAAAACATCAAAAAAAAATAAGGTAAGCGTTCTATCCTTAGGTTCTATCTTTCTGTTGATTACTTCTAGATATATGATTGATACATTTCTACAAACTACTGCATATTTTCTTTATTTATTCAATACATATTATAAAACTCATAATTTTAATAAGAAAAACAAATAAGTAGTTCACATATTTGAGTCTAGACCAGATATACAGCATTCTTTCTCTTTGGCCTGTAAACATACAAAAACGTTAAATAACGTATAAAAAAGACGTTTTAAACAAATGCATCTGTATTTTTTGTGTTCCTTCGAGGATGGAAAACAAAAATTTGAACACATTTTGCTTCGCAAACTAGTATGGACGTATTTGTTCACAAATTCAGAGTAAGTACCTACTGTAATTTTAAATTTTGCGTACTTACATATTTATGGGCATACCTACGTGGACCGATATTTTTTATTCAAATGTCGAAATCAGTTGATATCAGAAAGATATCAAATCGTAAACAGATAAGTAGGTGTTCCATCTTGAAATGTCCTCCATTTATTTCTTTTCTCAAATGCCGAAATACCTATGTAGCCTGATAAAATTATTCCTATAACTGCTTCTCTTTGAAATGTGTATACATATTCTTTGAAATGACACAATGACGCCGAATGAATAATATTTTCTGATGTTCACAACTTATTTTGCTCTTAAAGGAGCAAACGAAATATTTTTTGTAACGTTTGGTTTTGTTTACAGGCAAATGGGTTTTGTTTTTTTCACTAATTGCGTAATACCTATACCTAGACTTATATTTTTATATGATAAATTTTTATTCCACTTCATAATCCTCAGAAAGATTATTTGTCCCTCCAAGCCCCAAGTATTTTATATTATTTAGGTATAATAGGTATAATACCCACAAAGCATTAAAATTTAACGGAACTTGACAAAATGTTTTTTTTAATCCTTTGTGTATTTGTCATTATTTCAGTATGAAATACGAAAAGTAATGACAAAACTGAATGGACAATTACATCTAAAAGATAGAAACTTAAAAAGAACCTAACTCCTTGATTTTCATCCCTGTTCGCAACCCACCTGCCATCAACAGACGGTTGACAAGCAGTTATACCTAGGTACCTATTTTAAAAACAGGTGTCTTTTTTATAGTTAACATTATTTTGCATTTGCACATCTTAATGGTGAAAGCTTTATCAGTTACATAAAAGAAATGTGAATATTAACAAAACTTCATAAACACATTTTTGCGCTTGACAAATGCATCCTTCTACATTTGAATTTACGTATTTATTTGTCGTTAATACGAGCCTCTTTTTATCAATTACTGACACAAGCTGATGAGATTTTTGACAAGTAATAATAGAAATTATAACAAAATACCTGGAAGATAAAAATTAATTAGGCACGCACATATAATTCCGAAAAGTAGACGCCGCTATAAAATTTTAACGATGTGTTTACAAGTGGAAGCGATAATAATTCACCAAACGAAGAGATAATTCGTTACCACTGGTGTTTGACTTAGCAGGCCGTGTCCGTGCCGCAGACGCATGTCGCACACCCCAAGAAGAAAACAAGTGCCTATCGGCCCGTACATAAACGCGTTACATCGCCCTGTTTATAGGAATCCCACGGCCAATTCTGACAGCCGAACAATCATCGGGATCATTTAGCCACTGCGTTGCACGTGCGGTGCGACAGAGATGTCGCCCTCCCCCTACCCCCCGCCGCCGCCGAGACCCGACGCCTATTTTGACGGGAAGGTCGATCACGTGACAGCTAGAGTGTCTGCTGGCGAGCGGGGAGATGCGGGGACTGGCTAGACTTTCCACGGCACACTGCGAGCCGTCTGCGCCATGGCTGCTCACTTCGAATAAGTGATTTTGTGCTCGCGATCAGTGCCCAGCCGGGGTAGATGGGTGGTAGAGTTGCGTGAGGGGGTGCAGAAGGGATTTTTCGGGATAGTGTTCGATTTAAGTGCTTTGTGTGCGAAATAATCCCGGAATAGTGTCGGATGGACGGCGCCTGCGCCCTGCCACAGTCTGCAAAACAGTCGAGACGATTATTACCGGTCACAGTCAGACATGAGACATGTTAGGTGAACGTCTGCTGGCGTTGTGAATCGCGACTAGACAGAGAAAGAGTGAGAAGGAGAGCGGTAAAACTGCTTCGGAAGGACAACTTTGTGCCGAACATTCGAAATCGCCACTAAAATTCACCTTTATTATGTAATGTCGTTACCTGCCGTCCGAAAAAACAGCGGCCGGTGCGATAGTTACGGTGTTAAAAAATTCGTTCGCGACAACAGTGTGAACAAGTGCATATTTTATACCGCGTTAGTTCCTTAATAATAATGAATCCAGTGCTTAAACACGCTTCTAGTAGTTCCCTGTAGCCGCTTAGGACAGATAATAAGATGATGGAAGTGACCCCTCACCTGAAGAGCGTCCTGAAGAACTACCAACACAGTGCCACGAAGAGCCTGCAAGGACCCGGCCTTTCCCTGGTCACCGCCAAGAATGAGCTACCGTCGCCCGAGATTAAGGAGGAAGAGTTCGTACCCGCCCCCTTTCCCACTGTACAACAGGTCCCCATCCTGACCACCCCCGACACCTCCTGCAGCGAACGTTCCGAGACGGTCCTCGAGGGCGAGTCTATATCGTGCTTCGTGGTGGGCGGCGAGAAGCGCCTGTGTCTACCCCAGGTGCTCAACTCGGTCCTGCGGGACTTCACCCTGCAGCAGATCAACCAGGAGTGCGACCAGCTGCAGATCTACTGCTCCAGGTGCACCCCCGAGCAGCTGAACGTGCTGAAGAACCAGGGCATCCTGCCGAGCAGCGCCCCCAGCTGCGGGCTCATCACCAAGACGGACGCGGAGCGATTGTGCAGTGCCTTGTTGTACGGACAGGTGAGCTCCGTGCTAAGACCGCGCAAGGGGGCCCTGTCGATTCCCGTGTACCACGAGTGCTTCGGCAAGGCCCACGGCCTGTGCTTCCCGGAGTTGTACACCAGCAAGAATGCAAAATGTATCGAGTGCGAAGACTGCCAGGGCGGCTTCTCGCCGCAGCAGTTCGTGTGTCACGTTCACCGGGACCTGGAGAATAGGACCGTGCACTGGGGGTTCGACTCCTGCAACTGGCGGTGTTACGTGCACGTGCCCATCGACCACGAGGATTACAAACAATTCGCTAAGATCCTGGACGACATGAGGGAGCAGTACGAGGGAAAGATGGCGTTCCCACCGCCGGCAGTGGACCCCGTCATCAAAAGGAAACAGGTGAGTCCCTTTACAGCGTTACCAGAGAGCCCCGTTTCACGAATGTTCATCTGTAGGGGCTTACATATGTACAAGTACAGTACAGTTACATGTGAACTTCACAAAGAATTTGTATGACTACAAATAAATTACAAGTGTCCTTAGAATTTACGAGTACCTAGGAATATATAGTTCTGTCCCATAGGACACCTGTTAAATAGGTGTACTTTGAGGAAGTATTAGATACATAAAAATGGAAGTAAATAAATAATATTAAAATCATTTTACATATTTGCAATATACATATATAAATCTGTTTTCAAAAACTTTATTTACATTGAAAAAAGGTTCAGGTTATAACTTGCTTTTCCACTCAACCTTCATAGAACATTAAATAAATTTGTAACTAATTCTAACAAGCAACAAGTTGATGTAAATAAAATAAAAGCACATATCTATACTTAGGTGTAATCCATTACAATGAAAGTACTTACTATTGAGGATCAAAATTAAATCAAATTTATACTTTATTATAATGTTTTGTTATCGAATAGGTAAGCAAGCAACACTGAAATAAAAATGTTTGTGTGCTAGCGGACAATGTAGGTAAATATTTGTAAATCTTAACATTAATAGGTGTATTGTATATACCAGTTCTACATCGATTTTTTTCGTAATGGTAAAGTTTGTTGGCGTCTACGGACATTTCATATTAGTCTGGTTCAAGTATTTTGATTTTCTTTGTAAAATTCATTAGTTCTATTTTTTGAAAATGAATAGGTAGTAATAATTTATATGTGATAACACCGAAGCCTCGCACAATAAAATATTTTCTTTACTAACTGATTTTCTATTAGTGAAGATCAGTTTCATACAACCAATAGCTCGTTTAATAATCTCATTAACCTATTCAATAAATTTTAAGGAAGTATCATTTGTTAAACCTAAATTTTTTGTAACATAAATTGACTGAAGCTGATCGCCAGATAATTTAATATTAATACGCCTTCTAGATCGGATTCTGGGACCGCGTTTTCTAAAGAATTTTGAATTTAAAAAGGCAATAGAGGTACTTAATCTTTAGTTGTTCTCTGGTTAGTTTGCTGAATAGCATTTTCTTCGAAAGAATGGTTGTGTGTCATTAGCATACTTAAAAGAGTAATTTGTAGAGCGGTAGAAGTTTTTCAAACTGAAAGATATAAATCGTGAAAAATAAAGGACCTAAAACAGATCCTTGTGGCATTCCGCTAATAACTCCTTAGTGATACTGATTTTATATATAACACATTGTTTCATTGTCAACAATATAGTTTGTTTTCAACTAAAGAAACTGGATCATTGTTGAACTCAATGCAATAAAGTATTGCAAGAAGCAATCAGGAAATTTATAATCCTATCAAATGCTTTACTGTATTCCAGTAAAATATTACTAAATAAAATTAAATACATAATAAATATATAAATCAATTTGAATACATTTAAATATTGTTTAAATAACTTGCAAATGCTCGGAAAACACATTTCCCCAGTAAATTTATAGGGGGAAATCCTCGGGGAAATCGAGGAGGATTTAATGAAGTTAGTCTAATAAAATTAATTTTTTTTGTGAGTGGGAAATATTTACTTTCAGTTTCAATTTCACATTATTGTTAAGATGATTTATTTAATCTGTTTATTAAATACCTATAATAATTTGTATAAATTGTATATAATTTCTTTAAAAAAAAAAACTTTTATTATACTTTTATATCGTGGCATATTTAGTGCAATCTAGTTACTTTTATGTTTTTCCGCTTCTGGCAAACGAAATAAACCTTTTTCCACAAAAATCAAAATTATTTTCTTTAATTTTTTTTTGTGTTTAATTCTTATGATGGCATAATGATACATAGTTAAAATAATCACATTATCCAAGAATGAAAAAACCCTCAATTGTTTTTTTTTTCAATTTGGAATAAGCTATATCCTTTTTTTTAAAATGTACAAGTGTTGACGTATATGAACTTATTTTTATTTACATCCTGTAGTATAAATAAATGATAAGGCAGGCGATTCTTATGAGATTTGAAACAATGTATGTCTATCTTTAAAATGAAGTAAATAAATAAATAAAATTTGACGCAATTTTTAAAAATCTGTTCAGTGGATACGTTTTAGAATCATTTCAACAAAAATGTTTAATATTTTTAAGATCTTTGCTAATTTGGTAATAAATTCTGATAGAGATAAGCCTTTTATGGCAAACACTTTTTTGTTTAAATGTGCACAATTTGGATAAAAAATACATTGAAACTTTGTTTTAAAAAGTAAATAATACTTGTAGGTACGTAAATGCAAAGAAAAAAATAGATTTACATACCTACTTAAATACATTTAAAGTAGTTGATACAACTTATTAAAAGTACTAAGTACAAATGGTCAAAAATTTAACAAGTATTATGGCATTATGCAAAATAAACTTTTTAATATGAAAAAAAATCATAATATTTAGTTAATAATAATTTAGGTATTTAATAATGTCAATATTAGAAGTACATAGTTTTAAAAATGTGGTGTTTTTAGTAATTAGTCAAAGCGATCTACTTCAATAATAAAATTTGGTTTAATAGCGTAAAAAATTAAAATACAAAATTTTTTAATTCGAAAAAAATAGAATAAAAAATATCCCACCGTAAAACCTGTCTCATAAATTTACATATACTGAAAGACGATTTTCTTGAGAATTTTTCGAATGAAAAAAACACCAGTCCTTCAAAAAGCATTTTTTGGTTTAAAAATCAAAAACAAAACTTAAAAACCTAAAAACGTATTATTTTTTTATGAATCTACATCTCAAAACCAACAAAATGAAAAAAAAAGTTTATGCTATATATACTTATTCAATTTTTGCCAAGTTACAGGTATTTGAACATTTTTTGCTCAAAGTATTCAAATGCTAATACCTCGGCTAATACTTAACTTCTTGAGAGGTTGTAATAAAAATTTGAAAAAATTCTGGGAAATAGGTACTAAATAATACTCGGTGATTTGGTATGGAGTGCCCTATACAGGCTGTTTCCTAAAAAACGTCGCAAGCCTTATGGCTTCATTATTTATAGTCTGATTTTTAAAAACAAAGAAGTAAAGGTAAACATGATTAGTCGAAATGTGTTTGTTGTCAATTAAGCGACCGGGTGCTAATAATGCGGTATTGACTAATATTTTCATGCTTTTTCTGTAATACACGTTTTACAAAAGTAGACTATATACATCATTGAATTCAGAATAGAATTATGCACAATAATAAATAAATAAAAACATATATAGCCGTTTGAAAACAAAAGTTGACTATCGCTTTTAAAAAAAAAATAATTATAATAAAGCCCCAATAGGCTCACTGTTGTGTATTTAGAACCATTTCATATAATTTTTTGTTTTTTAAAATCAGACTGTAAAAATGACGGGAGTTATGGCTTGCGGCGTTTTTTAGGAGACGTGAAATATGACCTCTCTACTCATTATCTAGAGAATTATTGTGCTTTTTCTGTGCAAATATACTAAGTAATGGTCTACCTACGATTAAGCGTCTTTTAAATATTTGCGGACTTGTGCTTGTAAACATTTTTAGGTGCAGAGGTGTCCCCCTGAAAAAAACTTTTGAGAAATACCTGTTCCTTTTGTAGTGCAAAAAATTTAAATTCCGGTACCTGCATAACCACATCGTAATTTCAAGGTTACTATTATTATACACGGGTTCACGGTATTTTTCTTGGAAGGAGCAACGACTAGCAGTTTTGTTTTCAAATTTAGATATTTAAAGTTTAATGTTCTCCTTCCTTAGGTATCGCTTCTTGAAGATTAGGATTTATCACAGAGCTCTTTGACAGTGCTATTTCTGGTTCTGCCTACCACATTCTTTCTTGTTGATCGAAGTCGTTTTAAATATGTAATAGGCCTAGGGTCTCGATTAGATATTTGTTGGTTCGTTTAGAATTTAAGATAAATTGTATATGCGTTTTTAGTTTGGAATAGTTATGGTGCTAGGTGTTCCTCATTCTTCGAATTCCATTGGAAGTTATCTAATTTACTCTATGAAGATGTTTATGCGTCAGCGTCGCTTCTTGGTTATCGCTTCCGACTTTTTTGCTGGAATTAAGGGCAGATTGAAATTAAAGCTAATACATGGTTGGCAAGTAATTTTCTTCAATAGATACTCCGAGAGATACTCTACCTATTATCCTTGTCTCTTTCAAAATTAGTCTTCCGCTATGTTTAATGCTTTCAAATTTCGAAAAAAATCAATATCTCCTGAACTTAGAAAAACCAAATTTAGTACATGGTGTGAGTGTACCAAGAACATTAATCGACAGTGAGTAGAATTCGATTGAAGCATTTTAAGGGGTTGATAAGGGATGATGCACCATTAAAATGTGACAGAATTTTTAAACCCGTTGGCAGACTTAAAAAAATATTACTTTATTTTATGGGGAATTTAATTCTAAAACTTTTCTTTCTCTTGTTGGTTTTCAAAAAACTTTGTCGTATTCAACAAAAACACGAATAACTAATATTCTCACATTAACTAGGAAATAGGAGTGCTGTTGTTTTCGCGACGTGAGAGTAATTTTTATAATTACACTTTTGGCAGAGTCTAAGCACGTACACTCGTGGATATTACGGTATGGTCAAGGGGCAATTTGATGAAATCATAGACTGGCACATGACCTGTTACCAGATAATAAGCTCTGCGCAAATCTTGACAATAGTTCAAAATTTTCCTCGCAATAAACAAATAATTTACTACTACTATTCGGTACAAAGTACATATTTCGTTTCTTGTCATAAATTAACTGATGACAGTGATTAAATTTTTTACAACTTAATAGGGCAATAGTTGAAATTAAACAATAAAATCTCCAATTGGTATTTATCTTTATTATATGTTTTAAAATGGCAAAGTAATCGAATATGTAACGTACTTTACATAACGAGAAATACGCAAAAGTTGTTCTGTTTACCTGCAATAACCTATGACACTACAA